TGAATTTTGCATAGACCGACGATATACATATAATTTAAGAGAACACGTTTATTTTCTCCCTTAAAATGTTATTAATCCCCATCTTTGTTGTTAATGTTCGGTATTTTTCAACAAATACATTAATTACTTCATTAATATTATTGTTAATACAAGTAGTTAAATTTTCTAGGTCTACTAATAATAATCTCGTCATTAATTAAATTATTGTGTTCCATTTATTCAGGGGTAACGCCCCTTTCTTGATTAATACTAGATACGATGTTGTGAAGCCTCGCTATTGTTTTTTTTTTTTTTTTTTTGTTTTAAGTGCATCCATTTTTGTTAACAATCATTTTTTTTCTTTAACCAATTTAGTGAATGAAATTGGAAGAATCACGAGAATCAAGGAGATTCCATCGTTCTATTAATAATTTTATCTTTATGTTACTGGTATTATTAATTTAATTATGAATTTCCCAGATATGAATAGTATGCTATGGTAATCTTAACGATTTATTGTATTAATAAATTAACAAATATACATCCATTTCACAGCGGAATCTTTTAATATAATTAAAGCGAAGGGGCAATTGAACTGGATGAACCTATGCACTTTGTTTCCTTCGCTTCATAACAACTTATTTGATCCAGAAAGTTTTAATTGGAGGCTGGCAAGGGTTGATCAAGTTCCCGGCCAATCCCCAATCAGTGAAAACATCTCAAAGACAATTCGTGTTGATTGAATCAAGGCAAGCAGTTGAAGCGCAGGAGTACTGCAGGGAGTACGGCTTAGTTATTGTTTATCATTTTATTTCATTTTAATGTTTTAAATATCCTCCTTATTCTCTTTTTTCTCATCTCTATTCAAGTTTCATGTTTTGATTTACAATACACTTATCTATACTTGCCGAGACCGAGACATTGCTAGTTAAGAGGGAATTTAATAAAATTGTCCCTTATCGATCGTTTTTCCTAATTTGGACCCAATCTCTTTTAACTAAAATAAGTTTACCCATAGCTAAGAATAAATAGTAGATCAAAGAGCCATATAGTTATTCACATTATGAGCTATCTAAGAGAAATATCTCATGCAATAAATGTTGTCATAGCCTCGTGATTTTGAGTGATTTACTAACTATCATATTTTTTTAATTTTACTATACTATCAAAGAAGGAGATACCTGCTTTAATGTAAGCGCCCAAACATCCTTAAAGAACCCTAGGAAGAAGAATTTCTTTTTAATTTTTAAGTTATTTAAGTTACACGTGTTTCCTATCAGTTAATAACGATCCATCAATTACATCCCAAACTCTTCAATCACACATCACAATCCTTGAAGAATAATGTCAAAGCTGGAGGATTAAAATAAATTGTAATAAATCCCATAAAATCACCTTTACCCTTCGCCGTAAACCAATGACTTGCTGTCCTACAGTATCCTATAATAACACCCCGCTTTTCCCTGTTGAACAAATGCGATACTTAGGACTCCATCTGGACAAACGTCTCACTTGGAATCCTCATACCAGACTGAAACGATAAGAAACTGCTCGACGTTTCCGCTTACTCCAACACTTACGAGACATACGCTCTAAACTTCCAATTAATTACAAAAGAATCATATACATTCCTATAATAAGGTCTATTTAGACTTATGGATTTGAGCTATAAGTCTCCACTAAACCATCGAATTCCTCTCGTTTCCAATCATTACAATCCAAAACCCTTTGTAAAATCCTCAATGCTCCTTACTCTGTTATGAATATAATCATCCATAACGACCTTATGTTTCCGATTTAGCCCAATACTTCCATAATATAGTTCATAACCATCCGAATTCTGTCGTTTCTAGCCTTGCTTCCTCTTCGATGCCTGGTAACCGAGGCGTCTGAAAAGAAGATGACCTCGTGATCTCCTTATGTAGACATATTATTTGAGTTAAGTATCAGTATTGCAGGCACGAGCAGAGCAGTTTTGCAACGACAGAATTTCTCGCCTTAACTTAGCCATAATTTAATCTTCAATTCATTTTTCAAAAAATCCTGGTTGTCGTAGGCCTTTGATAACTTGTTTGCGTGTTAAAACATATTCCTTTCTATATCCACATCAACAAAATTTTCGCCCGTTTTGCAGCTAATATATTTTATCTGATCCGTATTTATTTCGACGCTTAGTTATTTACTAGTTTTTATGAATGTTGTTGTATTAAGTTATAATCTTAAAACGTGAACAATTTTTCTATCGGTCGACTACAAAAATCCAAAATGAAACCATGTTACTACACATCGATTTACCACGTTCTTTATCACTTCACCATCAACTAGGTGACTTCTCCATGGCTGTGTACTCGTCACCTGGTTATGGATGACGACAATCCTCTTGTATATCGGATAGACTTCCCCTCGCTAATACCCGATTAAAGAATGATAGGTCGAAGAGTGGGGTTCGATAGAGGGCTCACTTAGCCTAGCCGCGAAGTGGCTTTATCAGTTGCGGTCGATTTAGCGATTGACCCCTGGTTGACCCCTAAATACTCCCCTCTCTGTCAAAGCTACCCTTCAGTCTCTCTGCTTCAGGAGGAGCAGTTCTAATGGTGAACGAAATATATATTACGATAGTTTGCAAGTAAGTCGTTTATTTCTAAAACAAAATCTAATCATCAATGACAATTTTACTGAAGACACTAAAAACTCTATTTTCTATTCTAATAGTAATTAAAAAACAACTATTTGAAAAAAAAACAACAACTAAAGTATGTGCATTAGACCACACCATATAAGTGAAAATATAAACAAGGAGAGATTAATATAATAATAACAATTATACTAATACCACATAGATGCCAGTACTACAATAGTATCCTGTCCATAACTCACATTATCCAAGATTGTCCGTTTTATAGTCGTAAATTAATATCAAATTAAAAATAGCACAAAATATATCACTAGCCCTAGAAAAGGACAACAATAGAACTGAAAAAATAATAACATTTCTAAGAAGGGTAAATTCAATAAAAGAGCTATAATAATAATTTCTATTCAACTTTTCTTTTATTTAATTGGCTTTCCTTTATACATACCAGTATATATATATATACTGGTATGTATATATATATATATATATATATATATATATATATATATATATATATATTTATATTACTCCCCTACTCCCCACCTTATTTTATTCATTTATTTTTATTATTATTATTACTCTTTTATTTATTTTTACATGTATATTTTTATCTATTATTTTTACTTATTTATTTTTTTCCCATTATCAATTTTTTTTTCTCATTAAACCTACCAGCTAAATATTTTAATAATAATATTTTTATAGATGATGCGGTGATGACCTAGATTTTTTGCCCCTATAACATCAAAAGAACCAACCAATAATATGAAATATAAATTATAAATAATAGTCAATAACAGAGAGGATGGAATGCTGAACAATTACCTCGCTTACATTATAGTGTGCAGGTCCAATTTAATTTGGTTTTCGACACTATTTTTTACTTTTTCGTCCCTCTAACTAGATGTCGCGTTAAGATACAATTTTGAATATTAGCTCATGAAAGAGAGAATAAAATGCTGAAGAATTTCCTCGCTTACAGTACGCAGTTTCAATTTTTAGTTTCTGAGATATTTTAGTCCATATCTTCAATAAAACTCGTTATCATTTGGTTTTCGACAATATTTTTTACCTTTTCGCACCTCTAACACCGCGTCGCTTTAAGGTACAATTTTATTTACTAGCTCAATACAAAGAAGATAAAATGACAAACAATATGCTCGTCCGATTTTTAGTTTTTGAAATAATTTAATCCATACGAAAAAAAAAACACTTTAATTAGTCGACTTTAGCCGATCGTTACACATCAAAGTTCTGACGACTCAATCTAATTTACTCTCCACAAAAAAAAAATGCAAAAAGAAGTTTTTACATCAAAATTCTTTATTTAAAGCACATATTTCCGAAAATTGCTGATTATTTCAACAGTGATTAAAAAATCATTGAAACTATAATAGGACCAATTTTGGAAATAATTAAACTTAAAGCCTTTTTTCAAAAAAAAAAAAAAGGGTTGATTAGAGTTCGGTTTGAGGAGAAAAAAACGATTTATGGATAAAAAAAAGATATAAAAAATTAACTTTTTACCCGACTATGCGAAGCGACACGAGGGTTGTGTTAAGATATTCCACTAAAACCTTTAAAATATTAAAATAAGTGATACTAGAACTCATAACCTACAAAAACGTTTGTATAAACTATGCCTTGATTTTGAAAAGGAGGAATATTAATTTTTATTTATAAGTAACTCTCATTTTTTTAATTAATAGGAAGTGATTACAAAAAATATATTTAATTTGGACGATTTATTGTACATTATGAATGACTTTGTAATGTATAAAATGTATAACTGTGTCTTATTTTACTCAGCTTCGATCTATTATTTTACTAACCATTTATTTATACGTTGATGGCCTTTATCTTATTTACTTTTTTTTCTTAATTTAAATATTTATATTTATTTTCCTTTTGTATGTAAGTATTGATATGGGTGAACACTTGTAACTCTGATACTTAGCGAACTTACTATGATATTCAATAAATAGGTTTAAAAAAAATGCAATCAACAATTGCTTTATGGTAAACCATGAAAAAAAAAAACTCTTCAGACATCAATAGAGGTTGTGTTTCTTAAAACTATCTAAAGCGGATTTTTAAACAGTTAAAATTTACTTTTCTGTTTTTCATAAAATCATATATTATTTCTGATTATTTTATCACTCTTCCATATTAATTAAGTTTATGATTGTTGTCAAATGAGTTGAGATTCACCACTAGTTGTGCGAAAAATATATGTTATATTTATATCCTGAATCCCTGCGTATATAAGTAATTTCTCTAATATTTGTGATATTAGACATTAATATTATGTTTAAAAAAAATTTAAATTGGTTAAAAATTATTCATTTATATGTGTAACCTTCTAATAATTCCTTTTTATTTTTAGTGGCGTGCATCGATGGACCATCGTTCAACATTACTAAAGTGAACAGGCTACATATGGGAGCTTACTTGTGCATCGCTTCCAACGGGGTACCACCTTCAGTCAGCAAACGGATATCCTTAATAGTACACTGTAAGTATTATATCTATTAATTTAAAAATTGTTTATTTTGTTGCTAGTTAACATATATATATAAAGTGAATGGTCATAGAGAAATTGTTATTGTGTAAAATCATCTAGTATCCGTTTGTTTAAACTATATCTTCTCAGACAAACGTCAGTGAAAGTCTTCCTATTATTGTTCAGATGCGACAAACGTATTGCGTGGAACTGGCTATAATTGGTATCAATTCAATGATGATTACAATACATAAATCAATTAGCCTACCTATATATAAAGCAATTTGCGTTAAACAAACATTATTATATTGTTAATTTATGTTTGATTGAGCTATTTAATTTAATTTCCTCTTCAAGAATAGGATATGATCAGCCATCCTAAACCAAAAAGATTTTGATGCCACATTATACGCCCATTTTAATTTTTTTCCGAGATAAGTTCATAAAAAGATAATTTCGAAATGTTTTTGATCTGTCCATCCAAATCCAAGTATCCGTAATGGGAAATGGGATAGATACATACGAGCAAGACCCAGATTTTTATACAGTAAAAACCCAAAGAATATATCATATAATATGCAGCAAAAAAAATCCCTAAAATATGCAGAAAAATGTGCAGTAAAAAAAAACATGAAAAATGCAGTAACTGATCATTAAATATGCTAAACTTAATAATCATTTCATTATTATTCTGCCAGTAACGTATTTAAACATAATGGTGTGCCTAAAAAGTTTTGAAATTTTAAGTGGTAAAACTATATTTTAAGTGGTAAAGTAATTAATAAATAAATATTTATTTATCACGCAAACAAAATATGTCATTGCATAAAAACCCGAGTTCTGCACATGAGCTTCTAAATCAATTGTAATCATCTACTATTTACTTTAATTGTGTATTTTTTTGTTTTTGAGCATTAAGGTATATATTGTTAATAGAGATTAAAATTGTAAATTAAATAAATATATGATTGAACTTATCAGGCTTGTTTTTGAGGACGAATAGTAAATACTTAGAGCATATTAAATTTAATTTATATGTTTAAATTTTCAAATATGTATATTTTTTTTCTCTCGAATTATTGTCTAAAATTAGCTTTAAAGGAGCAAACAAGAGTTAAAATTAATAAAAAAGAATTAAGAAGTCCCACGCTTGGAGTATTAATTTCCAGAATTCCTTAGATTACAGAAATATTCAATATCTTTTCTCAATAATGAATTTATCGGAGAACTTTATTAATCTATTGTAAGCTAATACTCTAACTTCTCTTTTTTTTAAACCAATAAAATATTATGATTAAATTAATTTTGATAATAACTTATTTTGATACAATAATTCTTAAGTTTGATTAACATAATATGTTATCCTACATACCAAACAGAATATGTAGATTCTTGTCTCTGAACGTGGACTAAATATATTAAATTCATTAAGATCTAATTTATAAAAATATGTAACGGTCAAAGTTGACTAAGGAACTCAGAAACAATTGCACATACATTTTTGTAATAACAATTTATTTAGAAATATAAATGTAAATATTATTAATATTTTCATATTTTTTTTCCTCTCAAATTTACAATAAAATAGTTTCCTGGAATGGGTAAGAGATGTGCAGAGCACACATAATATTAATTTTTGATATTCTTTTTTTTTTTTTTGGTCTTTCCCTTCCTCCCTTTTAATGCCATACGGGGTTTTCCCGTGCCAGGAAGTGTGGACGGGGATTTAAAAGACTTCCCCGGCACCGGGACGCGAACTCGTGACTATTTTATATCCATTGCCTCATTGATCAGGTTGTTGACGGGCAACGGTGGTGCTGTGCACACATGTTTGCCCGTTCGGCCACCCTGTTCCACAATTTTTGATAATCTATGATTAAAAAAAAATATTGATAGACAATGCAGACGACATCCAAGGGAATGGATAGAAAAACCTAGATGAATATGGTGCAAAGCCCCGTAAGCTACTAGGACTGAAAAATGAATAACGCATGAGATAGCTTTTGAGAGGTAACATTCTATATTGCAAAAATAAAACAGATAGTCTATACACTATACAATTGCTGTAATGCTTGTATGGGTTATTGTTATTTTTCATATGAAACTAGTTGAATGTTTTCCTCATCTCTTATTTTCAGTTCATTCACCTCCGAAACTTTTTCCATTTTTTTTTTTTTTTAAATCCTTGAGGAAAAGAATTCTATCCCTTCGGAGTTTCCGAATGATATATTATTTATAACATTGGGAATTTTTTTTCTGAAAACACAACCCGTCTTCCTGATTTTTATTTTCTTCTAGAAGTCCAATTTCGGCCGAGTTTGCAAAAACAATCATTATAAAGTTGGGCCCTGGCAGGGAAAGGTGGCCTCTGGGAGTCATTAGGCCAGCGCAGCAGCCCATCAGTCGCTCTCAGAGTCAAAGGGAATCTACGTCCAAGAGCAATCGCTATAAAAGCTTTTATATTGAATTCTTCGCAACTGGTTTAATTTAATACTCGCTTTTATGCTTTTTCTATCAACATTATAGCCACGATTTACTATCTGCATCAATAAGATCAAAAACCGTTAAAAGTTATATCAAACACTCCATTATTATACCTATAAGAAGTTTCGGATATTATCAAATTCCGTAAGAATTCGTTCATCCGGTCCTATATCAAGGTAAGTAGTGCTAGATTGTCGTAAGTTTTGAAAGAAAAAAGAAAAACGAGAGTGATTTATTCCCCACAATAACGACAATAAAGCCAATCAGTTCAATTATCCAGTTGCCGACAAGTTCACCGCAACATGTGGGTGTTCAAGCATTTTACCTAGAAGTTATATTTTTATTTCATATTATTTTAATATAAAAAAACTGCAGTACAAACTTGTAAATATTTATATAAAATATGAATACTTTTCAATAATTAAAACTTATAATAATAAAGTATACTGACCCAAGCTTAAAAATATCAGTAACTGAGACGACTATTACTAGCCTTGTTATCATAGCCCAGATATCACTAGCCATTCTAAAGTGGGCTATTCAGATTTGCGATATCTTTCTCACCTCTCTTTGGGGAGCCATGACCATTGATTTTTACTTTCAATCAGTTGATATATTATGTACTTTTTATATTTATAATTATATACTATTACATTTGACATATTATATACTTGTGGGCGGGGTGGCCGAACGGGCTAACGAGTTTGCACAGCACCGCCGTTGCCCAGCAACCTGACATATGAGACAACGATGAAAAATAGTTCCGAGTTCGCATCCCGGTGCCGGGAGAGTCTATTAAATAAATCCCCACCCACACTCCCTGGCCCGGGAGAACCCCGTATAGCCTTAAGCCTTAAGGTAGGAGAAACCCGTATAGGCCTCATTAAAGGCGAGGAAGGGGAGGACAAAAAAAAAAAAGAAAAAGAAAAGATATATACTTTTTGGAACCTTGTTAATCTGAATATTTCTTTCTTTTATGTTCTTGTAGCCTATGAACTTTGTTTCTATGGAAAATTCTCTTAAATTGGGCGTTTTCTTATTAAATTAATTAATTCAAGAAGGTGCTAATTACTCATTTACTTTTTACATTAATCGTAAGATAATTTGATCACGAATTCTAGAAAAAAAAGGAGGCCTACATATAAATTGGGCCGTTTAGCCTATACCTGTATAACATCTTTATTTTGACATGTGGGGAGGGGGAGTAGACGTCACTCTAGAAATGGCTTAATATTTTTGTAGGCCCACTTTTTTATTCATTTTTTTTATCAATTAACCTTACGATGTCAAGTGGAAAGAATGTGTTGTTCATGAGTTTTTGTACCTTGTTAAATAGACTAACTTACTTTACCGATCTCCAGATTGAAAATGCTTCATTTCTGAGAATTTTCATTCACAAAATTGTAGTAAGTTACGATAAGATGAAGAGTCACTAAGTCAACAAAAAAAAAATCCTGTTGTTGCTACTTCCAGATTGACTAGATTGTTAATCCTGGATTGTTATAATAAATAGTTCCTTGTAAAAATCCATCTATTTTTTATTTATTGATTTGTCTGGAAGTATGAGATTCTCTGAAGAAGAAAGTTAATATTAAAACTGTATTTAATGAACTGGACAGACGAAGAAACTGCTTCAAAATATTTTATTTAATATTTATTAAATAATTAATTATTTACAAAGATTTTGAATATTGGAGAACTGCAATGCATTAAACTAAAATAATATACTTATAACCCAAATAACACAATATTTAAATCAATAAAATTGAAACGTTATAAATTATACTATTCAATATGAACAAAACAGAACTTATCACTTTATTACTTATACCACTTAATAAACAAATACTATTTACAATAATCTATACCGGTCGCTAAATCACTTAAGTTCTAAATAATTAATAGCAGTCAACGTAGATATGTTAATTTTAATAATTGATAATAATGAATTTGTTTACAAAATTCCCATTAATTCTTTAATTGTTAATAATAATTATTGAGTCCAAAATTGACTTTTTCAGTCTGTAGAAAACTGTACATATGTGTATGTGTATATACTCGTACTTTTGTTCATTGTGGAATATTGAATGAAGTTCTGAATATAATACGATTTCGATGTGAAGTGGTGTGCGGAATACAGTAGAATATGGTTGATATGGTAGGTCTAGGGTAAGACAGAACTTTTTATCCTCTCTTATCCTACTACATTCTAAAATTTGAGTTATCGCACTCTACAGGGATTATAGAGAAACTTGACTTCTGTGAACTACAGGATTACAGGACTGCAGCGACCTCTTTTTTATTAGTCTTGCTAGATTTTATGTGTGAATTACAGTAGTTTCTTCAATTGCTGTTATTTCCTTTCCTTCCGAAGATGTATATCCTGTATCTAACCAACGAATCATGGTGAATTAAAATATAGTTTCATTAATTTTTATTATGGTTTCTTGAAATCATTAAGTTAGTCAAAATTATTTTAATAATATTTTGTATGCATTGTGTATTATTATAATTTTTCTTATAATTGCAGTTCCTCCTATGGTTTGGATTCCGGACCAGCTTGTGGGTGTGGCAGAAGGTCAAGAGATCACCCTGGAATGCCATTCCGAGGCGTATCCCAAATCCATCAACTATTGGACCAAAGATAAAGGGGACATCATTGCCCATGGTAAATATTATCATTATTACGAAAAACATCAAATTACATAATAAATATATTAATCTTCAATCATATTATGATTCCAATCAATGATTAACGTGCTTTCGACCCTATTCCGGTTATCACAATCTATGGGATTCGGGCTGAAGCACCCCCCCCCCAATACAGAAAAAAATATTAAAAACTATCTTTTAAAGTATTATTGTTGGTGTAATTACATTTAATAGGACTTCAGGAACCACTTAAACACCATTTCATATAGGTAGTTAATTTCTTTCTTTTTTTTCAAATTAATTATCGTTATATGTATATGAAAAAAAAAAATCTTTCGGGCTGAAGTTCCCTCCCTCCCAAAAAATTAAATCCTGGATCCTCTAGTGCCGGTTATTATCATTTTTAACATATAAATATATTGTAAACAACATATATTTCAAATATCGTTATGGTAAAAAAAAAAAAATCACTAATGTTATTAATAAGGACTTATTGGTAACGTGATAATGCATTTGCTAACCTGACTAACTGGAATATAGAGAGCATGAAGTTATATTCTGCATCTTGCAATATTATTTATTATAATAAAGGAAAAATTTGTTTGTAAGTATAGATTATTTTATACAAAATTTTATTTAAGTGCTAATATATTTGCAGATTTTTAAATTATACCTTTCCAAACTTCACTGAATTGCATCAACTTAATTTTTTTGTTATTTTTCGATTGCTCCTGATTCTTAAATTTCAGTAGCTATCTGCGAAAAGTGAGGTTTTTTTATTTTATTTGAAATTACTTTGTTTAAAGTCTTCAACTCTACTTAATGCAATAGTAATTCTTTATTTAAACAAATAGAGAACTGTTGAATTCAAACTGTGCTTAAAAATATACAATTTTTTCTAACTATCTATCAGTAAAAGAAGTAATATATTATTTGATTGGGTAAAAAAAAAATCGAAAACGGTGGAATATAACAGTTAATACAAACATTCCACGGTTCATATAGGATTTAGAAATTTTTTTAAAAGAAAATTTTGGTTTCACCATAAAGATTATGTAATGAGGTTTTATTTATAGATTTTTATTATTTTTTTTAAATCATTAAAAACTTTATAATCCAGATTTTTTTTTATTTCTTATTTATACATTTACATAAATTAAACTTCTTTCAGATTTTATTATTATTTTTAAAAAATTAAAATTAGCTGGAGCCAGAAATTTTATTGAATAGCTTCAAGAAATTGTTTTTCTTTTATTTATTGTTGATATTTACAACTGTATTAAATGATAAAAATAATAAGTAAATATGAAATAAGTAACATGACATGAAGAGAAACTACCCATTGGTAGCACTCCAATTATTTTCTTTTAACTAAAAATGTTTCGAATTATACTTTAAAATTTATTTTTGATAATTATAATAATAAGATCGTAAATAACATCGGCATAGTTTAAATTAATTATAAAACCTTTAAGGGTATAAAGCTATGGGACTCTGCGAAAAATTGTAGATGCTCCTTTCTTTCTTAATAATAAACCACTTGTTACACAAGGACTTAGACATCGGAACGGTTTCTGATACTGCAATACAATAGTATAAAAACTTCCACCAAAGACTAACATTAACCGAATTACACCATTAACCGATTAGTCCAAACAGTTGATTACACCACGAACCCGTATATCCCATTCTGAAGATTTTTAAGACATTTACCAAGAGACCTTCTAACTTAAACCCTCCTACTCGAATGTGTACTGATTTGCTTTTTGCAAAAAAATACTTTGGATATAGCAAATTCACTAATACTGACAGATTAAATAGTTATGTTAATAAATACACTTTTCTTAGTAGCCATCAAGTTTTATTATTTTTCTTTAAGTAATATATATATACATATATATATATATATATATATATATATATATATATATATATATATATATATATATATATATATATCACTATCTGTCTCAAAGACTATTTATAGGGTTTATAATATATAATGTTAAATATTCGTTGTTATTATGAATAGAATCTGAAATATGAATGATTATGGTATTCAGAAAAAAAAATCATTTAAATTTGTATCCCAATATTACTAAAAGATACTTTGAGCCATCAACTACTTTACCATTTATAAAAAAAAAAAAAAAAAAAAGAGATTAGTCTGTGGTACAGGCCCCTTTTAATGAAATTATTAGATTCCGGCTGAAACTTCGTAAATAACTTCATCTCATCGTTACCTACAAATATTTTATTTACGAAAATTCTCGAAATTGGGGCGTTTTCAATCAGGGTGGGGCAAACTTTGTCCATTTTATTAGTTACTAAAAATTCGTAAATACACATTTGCTTTCTACTTGGATCGTAAGATAATTTCATCAAAAAATCTAGAAAAAAGGTGGCCTTCAAAAATTTTGAGCCGTTTGGCGTTACCTACACTCCCAAAATTTCAAAATAACGAGGTTATATAGGACAAACGGCCCAATATTTTTGTATGCCACCTTTCTTTATCGATTTTGTAATCAAATTATCTTAATTTCCAAGTAAAAAGCAAATGAGTATTTACGAGTTTTTAACAACTAATAAAATAGAAAAAGTTTGCCCCTCTCCAGATTGAAAACGCTTAGATTACAAAAATTTTCGTAAATAAAATATTTGTAGGTTACGACGAGATGAAGCTATTTACGAAGTTTGAGGCAGATGTTAATAATTTCAGAAAAAGAGGTCTGTACCACGGACTATATATTACCATCACACCTGGACATGTTCTGATATGTCAATCATGCTCAGAAAAAAAATGCGACTATAATAACGTAAATGTATGCAAACTTAATGTGTAATTACCTGTTCTTCAAGCATCGGTTTTGGCTGAGTATTAGTGAGTGGGTTTTGACAAAGAGAGTACATTATATTATATATGTATATTACATAATATTATTTCTTAGCAAAACCAGGAACTGATAGCTCTTTCTGTAACAAAATAAGTATGTAAAAAAGGACCTCCTTCTTATCTTTATAGCTGATATTTTGCAACCTGAATAGCAGCCGAACAAACTGATAAATAAAATAATTAATTAGCTTATGAAAACTTTTTTTTTTTGAAAAAGTGAGTTTTAATACAAAATAGGTAAACGTTTAAAAATAACCGATTGGTAATTATCACTACCCATCGCTGTCGAAAACACCTGTCGAAAACAGCTGTCGAACCACATAGCTCTCGCCACCCTATGCCAAAGTAACCACATCACAGTATATATATTTTATAACATTTTAAATTTTACATATTTACACATTGTTCTGTTTTGCAGGCCAAAAGCATGTAATCGGTGAGTATATAGAGACAGATTGATATATTTATTTCACTAAATTACTTGACGAGTAATTACTTTTTATGACATTTATTGAAAATGATATTTTTAATATCCGTCATATTCATTCGTAACTGCTACTCAGTAGTTGCATGTTAATGTTCTATTATTTTAGTAAGATCATAAACCGTTTGTCGACAACGTTTAATCTTATTTATCAACCTCTTCTTCTGCACTGCATGTCAAACCTCTCTGTCTATTTCCATTGTTTGAAATTTTATAATTTATCTCTAAACTGCCTAAAAATGTTGCCCAGAAAATTCAAAATCCTGAATCAATCGGAGTCATTCAGCGAAATTAAATTTAACTCTTATGACGACGATTAGTAGTGAATCATGAATAAGAAATAAATTGTTCGGACAACATTTTTGGATATAAAGAACCTAAAGAGGCATGTTGTAGGAGTACGTTTCAAAGTCTTGTTCACTGTTTTGTATCTATTTTCATTATCATTTTATTATCTATGTTTGTTAAACTATTTCATTATTGGTATGTTGTGAATTTATGCATAAAATTATAGTTCGTAACATCATAAACCTTCTACACAATGACTTTAGTATAGCTTTACATAATATGTTTCATTGCTGTATATTATGAAAGAAATCGCTAAGAATTCAATTTGACAATAGTACATAAAAGTTAGGATCATCCCCCCATAGATGAGCCAGTTTCTAATATGTTTTGCCTTATTAAATGTGCTATTTTAAATTTCTAATATATGATTCCATAGTTTTTAAAAGAATCATTAACGCAAAAGAATGAAAAATATACGATTGGTTTGTTGTGTAGTAAAGGCGTAGAACGTGTTGGTCATCAACGCCGTTAAATAAATTATATATTATTATATCTTTTGGTTATAAATATTAAGAATTGGATAAAATTAAAAAAAATGTAAAATGTACGTTAAGGTTAAAAGTTGTTTATTGTTATTAGTTATTTAAAGTTCGCACGTTAGGTAAAAAAGAAAAAGAAAAAAAAAAAGATATGTTAAGAGGAAAAAAAGAGGTGGGAAGTGTTGCGTGAGAGGTTTACATATTTTTTAAGATTACTTCTTCGGGGAGAAAACATGTGATTTTTTCATCATTTTTCAAAGCAACCGGTGTATTTGCTGGTATTCCTCTTATGTTAAATTGTCTAATAGAAAAGGCACAACTCTCGAAGATATGGACCACTGTCATTCTCTTTTCACACTTCCGACAAATGGGCGGGTTTTTTTGAGTAATTAAGTGAAGGTGCGTAAGCATGGTATGACCTATTCTTAGTCGCGTAAGGACAACTTCCTCTTTGCGTTTACTGCGACTGGAACTGCACCATGGCTTCACTTCCTTTTTTATCGCCTTTAATTTATTTGGAGGGCTATTGTCCCATAATGTCTAGCCAATCCTGGTGTATGGCTTCTTTCAGGGGTCGCGCCAGTTCGGACGCAGTCAACGAGTTATACGAATTTGACCGTTTATTTATTTCCTGTCTTATTTCCTAAAAGATTTTTCGATATATGTTAAGGGAACACACAGCCATGTTCCCACTTTATTTAAATTTGAATCTATTGGAGAAGCAAGCAGCACTGCTGCCATCTCCTGGCAGGCTTTAGAAGAAAACAAAGACAGAAGAGACATGCAGAGCTCCTGCAAGAACCATGTCAACT